CCTTAGTCAGATATTTATATCCCCTGAGGTTTCTCTTCTCCAGGCTGAATGTTCCCATCTATCTCAACTTCTCCTTATACAAGAGGTGTTTCAGTCCCTTAATCACTTTTGTGGCCCTTGACAGCACTCACACCAGCATAATTATGTCCCTCTTGTGCTGATGAGCCCAGTACTGCTCTCAGCACTCCAGATGTGGTTGCACCAACCCTAAGTAGAGGAGAAAGATCACTCCCCTTGAACTGCTGGCAATGTTGTTGCCCACCATTTCTGCAAGGGCACATTATCTCCTTGTGGTCAATGAGTTGACCACAATGAAAAGTCCTCTTTTGCAAAGTTGTTGTACATCTGATCATATATATACATATATATATATATATATCCTATTATATATAAATATTATAGGTATATATTTACTTAGAGTATATTTTAGGTTATTGGGGCATTTTAATGTTTCTTTACTTCAGAGAAGTATCTCTCCTTCCAGTTGCTCTCTGCATCTCATCACACTTCCCTCAGTCACCCTTCTGCTTGTAGAGTTCTTCAAGACCCTCCATATTTGTCTCAACTCTCTTAAGGAGGAGTACAAGGCTGTCTTCTTTTTGTGGAAGCCTTATTGTAGCATGAGGCTGGGCAGCTGTGTATCACTCTCCTAGCCCTAGTCAAGTACTTCTGGACCTAAAAATAAGTGTCTTGGAATCCCACCTGAGTGGGAAATAATATTTTCTCTACCCTTCCTACATTCATATTAGAGAGCTGACTTTGTTCCCAATTAAATACACAAATCACTAGTCAACAAATATAGATTATAATTAATAAACAAACCTTTACTCTGTCAAGCTGAGGTTTGTGTACACACCCTAACAAATTGAGCCTCACAATCCTAAAGAAGACAGTGCTCTAAGGGCCTTTATTTTGCAGTGAGGTTGGCTGTGGTACCAAAAAGTTCAGTGGGTTCCCCCACATCACAGAGCCAGTCAGTAACAGGGACAGAAGGAAAGTTGGCATTTTCTGAGGGAAAAAAAAGCATTCTTGACAAAACTACAAGCTTCAGCCTTTTTACATTGTCTAAGAAAGACAGTTTTGAGATTCCTGGGTCTGGCAAAGTCTTGACCTCTTTCCTTTTGTGCAAGCTGTGAAGTCCACTTCTCTTGCCTAGCATCTGTGGACTGGTGGTTTGAAGATTTTGAGGAGCTTTTTGTAACTTTTTAGTGACAAGAGCTTTTCAGTGACACAGTTGTTTTGGAAAAACATATCCATTTACTTCAGGGGTTTGTAAGAGGTACTACTTTGCTGCATGGAACTCAGTCTGTTTTTCCTTAATTTAAATATTTTTAAGGTACCAGGATTTGTCTTAATATTTAAGGTGAAAGACAAAAGAAATGTTATTTCTTACTGTGGCACCCATCACAGACACCTTTGTCACATGTACCATTTGTTATTGGTCAGGGGACACTCAGGTATGTCCCTTGCAATTACTAAATTCCCTTTTCCAAGTAGAAATAAATCACTCTTTATTTGTTATGAGGCACACTTAGAGAATCTGAATTCATAGAATTCTGACCTATGTGAATAGTCTTCTGATTTCCTTTAGGAAAAAGAAAATGGTTGTTAAATTAGCTGCTGGTCAGTCAGCAGTGATCACAATGCAGGGACACATTCTGCAGCAGTAGCACAGTGAATGCTTGCAAAACCACCTGAGACATGCTAAGCTTTCATTCCTGTTCATGCAGAGAAGTTAGACTTTTTTATTTTATTTCTTCCATAATAATTTAGGAACAGTGAGAGCCTGTACAGGGTGTCAGTTCTCAATCAAATAAAGTTGAACTAAAGCACACAGAGCTTGCATTTTCATTATGAATTTTCAGGCTCTCCTAAAGCCCAGAAATCTTAGTGTTTGATGGAACAAAACAACTGTAATGACTGTTATTAAGATTGTTAAGTCTTATTATGATGATGGCATACAAGAGCCCCAGTCAGGATTGAAACATCTTCTTCCCCTCTCAGTATTCTACTTGAGGAGACATAAAATAATGCAGAAATGATGCCTGACAGAAAGGACTTGCTGCCTATGCCATACATGTCTCTTCTCCAACCCACTTCTTACCTTGCTGTTCACCATGCTGTGCAAAACACTCTGACATACTCTTGTAACCTCTCATGTGATGATTATTTCTTGATGTGCTTGTTTTCTTCACCAGTTTACCGTCATCCGTTTTTTGCATCCCTATTTTGGGGGACCTACATCTGTTTCATACTCATTGTAGCACTGATTTTCCATTCTTTCTTAGCCCCTTTCTTTCCTCATCCTATTCTTGTAGGGTCTTCTGTGTTTCATATTTCTTTCTTTTATATTTTCCATGCCACGTCCATTGTGTCAGATTGCCAAGACAATCTTCAGACCAAACAGAAATTAGAATTGCCTATCTGACTTTTCTCACGCTGTGCCAGTATAAAAAGATTAGGTTAAGAAGGGGTGACACCGGGAAATCAAGAAGAGCAATGATCCAGTCTGATCCTGATGTCAATTCATTGCTCCATGGTCACTTAATTTTCCTCATCTGCACCATCCTGTCATCCCCTGTGGATAATTTACAACACCGTGTTTAACTTTTCATCTAGGATCAGAGTGAGTGAAAACAGGGAGATTCATATTCTATAAAATCTGTACCATAGTCATAATTAGCATGGCTAATATTTCACTACCTAACAGTCAAACAAAGAAGTATTATATTCCTATAGACACCTCTGATACAAAACCAGAAGAGACAGATGCCCAAAACCCAGCTCCTGGAAAAGTCTTGTTCCTTCCTGTCATCCACCGCCCCATTGCCCTACTACCCCTGGAAATCCCTCCCCTTCAACAGACATGCTGTCTGTTGACTTCTCCTCAGCAGTTTTGCAAAACATCCTCTCTCCCATGTTTGCATGTTGTTCTGTGTCTCATCTGTTGCCCTATTCAATCTACCCAAAAGTACATCAAACAGAAAGTCCCTCCCCATTTCAGACAGAGGGTCACCATTTTGTTTCACCTCCCATGTTTCAATTAGATTACTGAATCACAGTGTGCTCAAGGTTGCAAGGGACTTCTACAGGTCATCTTGTCCAAATCTCGTGCTCGACCACTGTCTGCTCATCCCATCAGGGGCAAAGGGGTGTGCCATTTGCCAAGTATTCCCTGACCCGATCCTCTTCCAGTGCTCTAGAGGCTATGATCCAGGGGAACTCTTTGACAACTCTGGGTCAGGAGTGGATAAACCCAGGCCTAGAAACACTGATTTTCATCTTTTATAGACTCCTGAAATTAAGATTTTTCAAACTGTCCTGTAGAAAAACTGTGCTGTAAGACAACGCTAACAATGCAGCTCAATGCAACACCTTGAAGAAAAGAATGATGGATTTAGTTAAAGCAAAAGACATTTCAGTCTCTCACAGTGAGGCACCAGTACCTCCAGTGGCAGGATGTGTATGAGCAGCCTGCAAGCCCTCAGGCACTGGGACACTGTACCCAGACAGCCTGGTCAGAGTTGCTCACAGTGACACAGAAGTTGAGTTTTTGAGCCTCTCCCCACACTACCTGGGGTCTTACTAAGGAGTAAGAAACCACTGAGGAGTGTGCTGGTTTGGGATGCATTTCATTATACCCTTCAGGTATGATTCTCTGTCTTGTCCCACGTCTGTCAATCTGTGAGTCACCAGGATTTAGGCATTGCCTCTCTTTTGGGTCCAGTTGCCCTAAGGAGCTGTGGGTAAATGGGTGCTAGAAAATCGATCTGCTACTGCAGGTGTCAGCAGAACAAGCCATTTTTATGCCCTGCTGGTATTTTAAGCTTGGATGCCCACATTCACTCTCCATTCATAGACTTTTTTTTTTCTTTTTTTCTTTTTTTTTTAGCTTTCCACAGCCCAGAAATCTTTTCTGAGTTTCTATTGTCTTATACATCACGGACACTTTGGTATCTGATAAGAAAAAAAAAAGAAAAAGACATCTAACATGTATGATTCGCAGGTTTTTTTCTTTTAAATCTCCCATGATTCCAGTGTTATCGCTCCATACTTAGGTAACATAGCGGGAATGTAAACTTTCTACTCTCCTGGCTAAGAATTACACCTGAACTACAAATTAATGCTGTAGTGCCCTTTCTGCTATGCAGTCATTCCAACAATAAATTCTAAGCAGATCCAAACTTCATGCTCTCTATCTCTATTTTATTGGACTTTGCTGAGTTTGTGCTGCACCTTTCCACTTCCTTATTCTCCATTATTCCCATTACATAATCCTTTTGTATCCAAGGCAAGGTGGAAAAAAGCTTTCAAGAAAGCAGAACAGAGACTTGCCATTAATAGGACAGACAGAAAGAAATCTGTTGAGTAATGAAAAATAAGCTTTTCTTTTGCATTTAAATAATATTCTAAATACTCTTCCTGTGAGTTGTCATAATGTTCTGTCATTGACTGCCCTGCTACATGTTCATCAAGTGTTACCTCCTGGCTAATCAGAACTTTATTACATATAATAGAGATATCAGCTGCTATCAGATGAAGACCTTGATCCAGGTTTTCTGTGCAGCATTTATAGTTGGGAACAGCAGTTGACTCTCTCCTGAGATTAGCAGCCCAGTGATCAATGCCAGATAGTTAATAAGTTCAGTTCCACAAATCACTGTTATGAGAAAGTCAGGACATTCAATGCAAAACTAAGCTGTGCAAGAGTCAGGCAGGCAAAGTACTTAAGGACACAAAATTCTAAGAAGGTTAAAAACAGTTGAGGATAAACTGCATAGCAACCGAACTATCACATAGGAAGTTCAAACCGTTTAATAGTCTAGAAGCTTATTCATATATGATGTTCTCAAGACAATAGTATGATGGTAGAGATTAGTCTGTACTCATTTGAGTGCCTCCTAACTAATTTCACTAGGACTATAAAGTCATAATTAGGTACAGGTTTAATCATAAATATTCCAGAACAAAATCATTTTAAAGAAAGCTCATGATCCCACCTTTTGACAAGGAAAAAGGATTCAGTGATAATTTTCAACCTGGTAAAAGAAATAACATTTTAATATAACTATTAGAATGTTAAAAAAAAGAAACAAAATAATCATAGTATTTAAAGTATGGTTCTGACTACAGAAAAAAAATCAATATTTACTGAGGAGAATAATTCAATCTTTTATTCAGCTGTACTTCTTGTTTCTTTCAAAGCTCTGTCTTGCTGCCTTCTGGAAGTTGTAAGCATCTTAGTTTACAAGTCAGGTTGCAACTTGGCTTCTGTTCAGATCAGCAATTGACCTTTTACTGGCTTCAGAAAAGGGATTTCTACTGCCAAAGCTTCCCACCAAGGGCACAGGAAGTGGATTTTAACTGAAATTGTGGTATAGACCTGTTTACTCACAGACTGCTGCCACATACGTAAGAAACAAATTCTGGACTACCAACGTAACTTACGTGCTAAGGAACTTTATTAAGAGAATATGGGATGTGTTTTTTGCTGATCAGCCTTTTCTCTTGTTTCTCCAAACAGTGCTGCCCCTTGTGCACCTGTTCCCTCTTTCACTGCTGCAGGATAGGACAGAAAAGGGAACAGAACAGAAACTTTTGGTAGGGTCATCAGCCTAAGGATAAGGAAACACAAGTGTCCACCCTGTGGTGGTCTCACTGCTAGGTGTAAAACTGCTGTGTGTTTCTGCCCCCCACCCCTTTGATGCACCATCTCACCCTCTTGAACTTCCCCCACCTCAAGTATATTTGGACTTGTCCAGTAGCCTTGTGAAGTGAGGGGCTCCAAAACTGGTCCTTTTAATTTTGTTCAATTATTTCCTATTAAAATTTTAAAGTTAATTGTTCATTAATATTAAAGAATGTTGTATACACTGCATTCTTACACTTTATTAGATGCACTTATTTTATATCTTATTTATGTATATATTTCTATGACATAACACACAAATATATCTTTGTATCAATAAATAGTACATGCACACATATATATTGTGTATATTTGTATATTTAAGCACTAAAGGAAATGAATAGCTTATCAGAGGTTGTTCTGAGATTAGGTGAGTAAGAAGGTTTCAAAAATCTCAGAACAAGATAGAAAAAAAAATATGGACTTTAAGATTTCATTTGTATCTGTGAAAATTTACAGGAAAAAGAGACGGGAGAAGAATCCAGTCCACTGTCTGTTTAATTCTTAATTTTGTGAACCTGCTGTGCCACTCTCAGTAAATGAGACATGGAAGCACAAACAAAGGATGTATAAGCAATAAGCCCTTCAAGGTGAGGAAGTATTAGCATAAAAAGGGCAAATTATAGAAGCAACTATTGACTATAGTAGTTCCCAAGCTTAAAACCAGAGGCATGTTCAATGCTTTACAATTCTCACATAAAAGTGTTTACAGTCTTTCAGAGACATAACTGAAAGAAGAAAAAAAAAAAAAGGAAAGAAAAAAGAAATCTTTAGTCATAGCCAAAATATTTTTAAAACATCAGAAAGGCAGGGTTTGGCTGGTTGGAGAAAGAATAATAGAAAATGTGGGTCCTAGTCAATGCTTATTTTTTCTAGAGTAACTTACTTGAAACTAATACTTGCTATGGAGTTACACTGAAACCAAACAAGAAATAATATCCTATGTCTAAAAGTAACATCAGCAGTACAGAGCAGTTGGAAGTTGGAGGGAGTCCTCAGCATGAGGTCTGCAGTGATCCAGGTACAGAGAGCCTCTCCCTCAATGTCAGTAGGTTTAAGTTAAACCCCAGCCAGTACAGAAAGTTGTGACCGTCTAAGGATTGCCCTGGGGGACAGAGCTACAAGGAGATGATCCTTATGTGAACTTTGGTGCCCGGATATCCGAATGCAACTAGGTGTGTATAAGTGACATAGTGTAAATTTATTCTCTGGCTGATCAGATGATGTCCCCTGCACATAAAGTCCTGCATCTATTTTACCTGTTAGACATGGCTCATGGCATTAAATGACTCTCACAAAAGCAGACATGGTGAGGGATTTCTTCCCTGCATCATTATCAAGAAGGCCAAAATCTTCTTTTCAAGGACTGCCCTCAAGACCAAGCACAGAGCTGCTTTAGTAACACTGTAACTGGCCTTTGAAAATATGTTCCTGACTCAAGGACCAAAGCAGCTGCATTCCTGGAAGGTGTTAGATTTCTGTGTAACGTATCACAATGACTTCCTATTTCTACTTTCACCATGCGGGCAAAGCAACAGGTGAACTTTAGTTAAAAGCTGGTAGATAAGAGGAACACAGAGCACCATCCTCTCAGGGTTTTCATGGAAACGTTGTTTTTTTTTTCCTCAGACTTACCACTGTTACAAAGTGTTACAACTTTCACATGAACCAGCCTTTGAGCCCCCTCTAGCCCTAACACGTGCTCCTTAGAGGTTAGTACAAAGAAAATTCAACTGTTAGAGATAGTTCTGCAACTCAGGTGAAAACCATGGGAAAACTCAGGTGTGTTTTACCTCTTTTCAATGGTTTCCTATACCTATATAGTTTTTTGTTCCTTTTTATTGAAGCAGATAACATCCTTGTGAGAAGTATCTAGATTGCTTTGCTTATTAATGTAAGAGGTTAAGAATAATTACACTTTAAGCATTAGAAATGACAGAGACAGAAGCTATTTTTTCCCAAAGACAATATAATCACTATAAATGATGAGTTTTGTATTGTTATTTCTCATAAATTCTATTCAATAGAGGTAATCAAGCATTCTGTTGAGGTATTGCTGTTTCAGTTTCTGTCTTTCTAAACCATTGCTAGACAAGAATATAGCAAAATCATCATAAAGCAAAAACATATTTTGTTTACATAGATTTGAAAAGACAGAGGTATCAAAATCCTATAGAACCAACAAAAAATATTTAACATGTGCAAAATTAACAGCAGCTGTGCTCGCTTAAATTGAGATTTGCAGAACTCTAAATCTCCAGCCACTCTTCCCCCAGCCTGTAGTGCTGCATGCAGTTGTTGTGACCCAAGGACAGGACCTGGCACTTGACCTTGCTGAATCTTACACAGTTGGCTTTTGTCCATCAGTCCAGCCTACCCATATCTGTCTCCAGAGCCTTCCTGCCCTCCAGCAGATCAACAATCCTGCCCCACTTGTCACCTACAAACTGACTGAGAGAGCACTCAACATTCACAGCATTTCTTTCACCCACCAAGTGGGTCACCTTGTCATAGAAGGAGATCTAGTTGGTCAAGCAGGATCTGCCTTTCATAAGCCCACACTGGCTGTTCCTGATCCCCTGGTTGTCCTGCATATGCCATGTGATGTCACTCAAGATGATCTGCCCCATGACCTTCCCTGGAATCATGGTCAGACTCACAGGCCTGTAGTTCCCTGGATCCTCATTCTGCCTCCTATTGCCAAAGTCCAAGTGGGATTCAGTTCACAGATTAAAATAAGTAAATCAAAGTGTAGACATTTGAGCATACATTTGAGCTCGATATTTGAGATCCTATTTTGATCAACGGAGAGTGAGCTGGAGTCTGGAAAGCTATTCAGTTTGAACTCAAGCAAGCAAATACATCTGAGTGGCCTAATTTTCTAGGTAAACGTTGTATTCTTTTTCTATCTGATTTTCTTTTTAGCAGAGGAGGAAGAACTGCAGCACAGGGGAAAGCAATGTGTAACCAACAAACCATCCCTCAAACATGTGAGACATTATTGCTTGAGGCTTTCTTTTAGTTACTGGTACTGGAGGTCTCGTGGATTTCCTAATTTCCTTCTGAACAATCAATGCTTCCAGAGCACTTCTAGAGATCTTGTTTTTCACCAAGACTCAGTAAGAAGGTTGTCTCTTTCTCTCAGATAGACAATAAGTTTTTCACTATGACACCTCTTGTAAATGTGCAGTACATGGGTTGATATTCAGTATTTGTCTTGAATTTGAAGCTGAGACATCTCTTGAAAGAAGTATTCTGTTATAAACACATCCTATACAAGCCTTGTCTACACATGATTTTGAAATGTCCCCGAAGCACTGAGATGATTCTGTTTCAGAAGGTGTAGCTCTGTCCTGATGTACAGCCATGTACAGAAAACTTATGGAAAGTCCTTCACAGAGAAGACTTAGAGGCTCTAACTTCAGAGTTCATCACCACTTACGTGCTCAACAGGAAAATGTGGTATCCAACTTTGTAAAGAAAGGAGTGACAGATATGCCTTCAGAAATCTTGTGTAGAAAAATTTTTATTTTCTGGGCACTATGGGTTAACCGATTCAGCATTGGAGTGGAAAACATTGTTCTTCTGTAACAATTGTGCAATTTATTTTAAATGTAATGTTTAGGAGCTGTTTAAACACAGACTAAGATTAAAAGCTCATTGCCTCTGATTCCAGATACCATCCAAGACCAGATCACCATCTGGATTAAACAACTGAAGTTATTTTCATACCAATTTATAAAATCTCATGTAACATTATTCTATCAATTATGCATACATTACATTAGTATATGTGCTTTTATTTGCCATTTTAATTAAAAATAGCTACGGAAATGAATACATACTTATTGTAGATTATATAATTTATTGTGTGTGAAAGATTTCTGTAGTTTCTAATTAGAGGAGAGCTCACCTAGCCCCTTCTGGCACCCAGACAAGTTAAATTGTCCAAAATTCTGAGCTGATGTCTACTAAGAATATGCCAATTGCAGTTAATTCATTTCAGCACAGAAGATATATCTGAATAAATTAATCTGATTCCTTTTACTCTGGTTTGCAATTATTTTATTTTTAAGAAAACCACTAAACAAAAAGGGAGCTGAAGTGTATCCTTTTGTAGTATGAAGTACATGAAGCTTTGAAGATATCCAGGTGAAATATATTCACGGCTTTATCTTTGAGCCACTTCATTTACATGAGTACTTTAAATATGTGTCAGGTACAATTTGTTTTTAATCAATCCTTAATGAGTCTAATTACATTCTGGAATTCAAAGTCTGTCTAATTTTCTCCCTAGTCAAAGCTGACCATTTGTTTTTCTTACCCATTGTAATCAGGACAGTGTTTACTGCCCTAATTCCCAGAATCATGAGTCTCTTCTTTGAATCAAGTAGAGTCCGTGATTTCTGTCTTGAAAAGCATCAGGGCACAGATGTACCAACTCTTGAACAAAAGGATCAGCCAGAACATTACCTTTAAGAACTGATAATCAGACTGTTTTAGGTCTTTCAATAATAGTGAAAAACACTTTATTACAGAAATATGTATAGTCT